AAATTGGTGAAAAAGAAGATTAAGACATAGATGTTGTCTCCTCATTAATGTTAAAAACTGTGCGGGGCGGTGGCGACTCGCGGAGCGAGTCGCAAGTTCGTCGCGAAGCGTAGAACTGGGGTCCAGGGGCACTCCCCGGCTAGACGTGTCAGCTCGCAAAGCGAGCTAATCACGACTAGTCACAGTACAAAACGCCTTCAACCTAGCAAGCGGCAATGTGGACATCCCCCGTGGAGTAATAGTTCTATCAAAAGCGCCTTCCACGATCGGAGTCAAATATTGATGAAATGCGCGCGAAAACCCCGTTTCTCCTCCGATTGCAACGTTGCACATCGTCTTTATGGTCCATTTTGGTTTATTTATTTTATTTTTGAAGCCAAACAACAGCTTCTCTTAAAATTTTCCGAGAATTTGCCCAAATCATTTCCAAACAGAAGATAAAAAAAGTAACAAAAAATAACCCTAGGCGATGTGAACACTAAATCACAACAATTTATTTACTTTCGGACTTGAGCAGTTAAATTTTCGCAAAAAAAAGAAAAAAAAAAACAGAAAACGGAAGGCTCCGCGAAGCACATTTTTCACCAATCTTTTGCAAAAAAAAAACGGAAGAAAACAAAAGGATCCGCGGAGCAAATATCTCATACTTTCGCAGAGGAGACCAGTGCCATAGAATAAAGAGTCTATGCCAATGCACAGACAGATTTTCCAGATTTTCACATCCCCAAGAGAGTAGCCCGGCAACGGATGCACGAGTCGGAGCTCGCAACAATCATGGCGCGGCGTTTCCAACAGCGCTACGCCGAACTCGTTCCATCCTCCTCGCACTCGTTGGACGCCGAACTCCTTCCATCTTCCTCGCACCCGTTGCGCGTACCAGAAGAACACACGTAAAATTTATCAGCTGTCTTCCAGCGCGGGACGCGGAAATCGCTCCATCTCGCTCGCACTCTCTCTCGCACCCGTTGTCCTTACGGGAAAATCGACCCGCGCGGACCGCGATATCCCGCGAACCGGCGGGCGGATCGCGAAATCCTCCCTTATCCGGCGCCTCGGGGTAGAGAGGGATCCCAGTGCGGAATCTCAGGGTCACACGGCCTCCCGTTCACGAGATCCGCTGATACGTGAGTCAGTGAGTGAGTCAATCAACGTGAAGTCTGCTTTATTAGTATAGATTAGTATAGATTGGTACAATAATAACTAACTGTTGGTGTTGCAGGCTTTAGAGGAAGAAGAAAAAATGACTCCGTCTCAGCTTGCTATTAAGAACGTCGGAAAGCAAGATCCTAAGCGGCATTTAGAAGAAAAAGTCGATCTGCTAATGTCATCAAACATCGTCCAGTGTCTAGGAGCTATGCTTGATACAGTTGTGTTCAAATAAGTATTAACAAACTACTTTAACTTATCTTCCCCAGGATGTATTAAGGAACAGTTCGTGCTCTTGTTTTGGAACAAAAATCGATTAGTTTCATTCTGGAAACACCCTCTCTAACCTTGGTGAGGTTTCAAATTGAATTGAATTTTTAAATTGTTGCTCTGCACCTAATGTGAGTTTTTAGTCTTGTTCTAACATCTCAAATGCCTAAACAAAAGTCTGTGCAATCGCATTGTATGTAAGTAGTGCCCAGGTATGTGGAAAAAATTTGCACTGTGCGATGAGAGAATAAAATCCTCCTGCTTTCTGTTTTTTAAGAAATTACTTTAGACTGTGAAGGACACAGCTGCATTTCTACCTGTCATTTCATATAAGTTTTTGTACATCGTACTATGTATTAACTATTTAATTTTTGAAAGCTTTTATTATTTTTGTAATATTAATTTTCATCAGGTCTACAATTGTCTTATTTTGTACCATAAACTGTGATTAAATCTCATCTAAAGCAGTATGAACTTTTTTTTTTTTTTCCATCATTCAACAAACCCCTCTTGGGGGTGTCCCCCAAAACTTTTAAATATTCTAAAAAGTGAACCTCTTTGACCCAGGGACATTTCCCGAGTTTCGTTTCAAAAGCTCAATTAGGAGAAATTTTAAAAGGGGAGGGGACAGGCTGTGGGGGCACCTTTTGTGTGTGCTTACCAGTTGACTGTTTCTTGGATTGTCCCATTACAGTGATTACAGGGCATTGAGAAGACATTCAGTGGCTGAAGTGCAAAACCATGTTACTCCATTTGTGGTGTTGCAGCCTACCGGTCATACTTTATTTTTTATTTTTTGGAACACCAGTCAACGTATTTTTTGTAAGTTTTTTTGGTTTCATTTTTTGTTAACAGAATATTGTGTATAAATTTAATGCTGTAAAGTTGGCTTGTATCTTTTCAAAAAATAAAAAAGTGGAAGTGGAAATTTGGAAATACTGCAATGGAGATAAATGATTGTGCACTCTAGTCGTGGAGCTGCTTCTTTTATTCAATAAGAAATGACACCTTCTATTCTCTTTTAAAAATTTTAATTTACAGTAAAAATTGGAAAACTCAAAATCACTTAACACGTGAAGACTATTTCCTTAAAATTAGAATTGTACTAAAGTTTAATTTTTCGAACTCAAAATACTTCACTGGCTACTTAACAAAACTTTATCAATTTTATGAATAATATTGGCTAATCTTTGATCGTGTATCAGGTCATCAGGAAGCTCAGATGAAATTAGTACATTACCTGTATTTATACCTTCATTGCCCATTTCAAATGATAGATTGTCATACATAGATATACTTCTGTTTGAGGACGAATTCACACTGCTTGACATGTTTTTGGTTCCTCTCTTCTTCCACTTCTCTGATTTTTTCTTTCGCTCAGTCTTTAGGAGAATATCTTTGTTAAGCAAATTGGATTCGGAACCGCTTAAAATCGAAATTGATTTTGCAAACAAAGATTTTTTTGAACTTTTTTCGACTTTTTGGGGGGTTTCAACAGTCTTGGAGTTAATATTTTGAATGGTGATTCTTGTCGGAGGAGCTGTTCCTTTGGTCGGTTTTGAAAATGAAGGCTGCTCCGCGAGTGCTTGGGAGTATAATTTTTCCCATTTGAATGGTCTCCCTTGTGATTTAACATCTTGAGCTTCGCATGAACTTTTCTGTACCAAGGTTAATCCGATGCCGTTGATTGGTTTTCCCCTGAAACATTTAATGTTAAACCAATGAAGTCAATGTTAAGTCATTAATAATCCATACAATCCCAAGTATGTATCTATACTATAAACAAGTGAGAGTATAAAATAAAAAATGTCAATACCTGCCAAAACTAATTTTGGATTGAGTTGGCACTAGGCACATTCATTCACACGAGAGGATTCCTACACAGTTAAGAAGTAGTACAAGGGAGTTGAGAGGTTGAAAACAAAAACTGGGAGGGTGGGAGCCTGGGAGGGTGACTTTGCTGGCTAAAATCAGCCCAATTCCGAATTTCAATAAATCCAGCCATTTGATGGCAGAAGTTTTATATGACACAAAAGTAATTGATTTTAACAGGTTATCAACCGGCTTCAATAAGACTCATACCTGTAATAAGAGGTCTGTTAACAAGGAAGGTCATTTTTCATGGTTTTATCAAGTTAGAAAGAGAGCGAATATAGTTAATGATGGAAGATCGTATTCTGTATGTTGCGGTCAAATGTATTACACAATGAAGAACTGCAAAATTCATGCTGACGCCTGCCGCCTGACTATTTAGGCTCTAAAGACGTCTGTGTTGCACGCGTCAAAAAGTGAAGGCATTTGCCTTTGAATGGCAACGATCAGATTCAACTAAACCTTAATGTTTCAAAGATTTCTGGGTCACAATACATCCATTTAAATGCTGTCAAACTGTATTGCTTGAATGGACACTCCCATTGAGATACTCTTTTTTTTATTTATTTATTTAAGTACATATATACTTTTATTCGTTCATTTTTTGGCGGTTTTTTTGCTACAAGTTTAAGGACATTTTTCCAGAAAAAGGAAAATTATTATTTTTTTTCCTGCTTCTTTTATTGTAATGTTACATAAGAAGACCTATTAAACCTCTATTGCATAGCATTGCATGAAAGCAACAAACGGTTTTCAACTTTATTTCTATGCTAGAGTATTAAATTGAATCAAAGCTAGAAATTATTTTTGGGGACCATTTTAAGTCTGACCTCCTAACTTAAAAAAAAACTACAAAAATTGATTCCAACTGACTCAATAGTCAACAAAATACCTTACAATGTAGATTTGCTCTCCAAAATCAACGATTAGGTCATGCAACAAAGGATTAAACTTCAGATTGACTTTTTAAATGAAGGGCACAAAAAAAAATCATGGAAAATCACAAACTCACCGCTGATAATGCCCCACAACAAGGGATGAATTATTCCTGACGGAGTGAACAGAGAAGGCTGCAATATGATCATGAGGGTGGTAGTGAATGCAGCCACAACCTGCTGTGAAATTATCTTCAGAATAAATTCCGATTTGCTCACCAGTGTCAGTATTCCAAGCCACTAGGATGCCTTCCTCACTCCAAGCAAATAAGATGCCTCCACACTGAGAGAGACAACTGCCTGTTTGTAATTTTTCATTCAGACAACCCTGTATTGACAAGTCAAAAGGATGCGGAAAGTATGAAACAAAAAGGACTTGAAGGAAATAGTGTGGAATTTCTTAATGCAATATTAGTTGTACAGAATAGTGTATTTTTTAATCTTGTAACGGCGACATTAAAGCAACTCTATCAGGCTCTGATCAAAGAAGTTTTAAGAAAACCTTTTGGCAAGGGTACCACTAAAATGCTGCGATTGTCGTCTCAGTATCAAGGTTTCTGACATTCAAGACAAGGGGTCGTGAGAGGTCGCTGCAGGAAATTAATGTCAACGTTGATTCCAGAACCAGTTCAGAGGGGATTCTGAGTAGAGGTTTGGGTAACCTTGCGACAAAAAGTATAACAAGAAAACTTCTCTAAAAATCCGTGGAAGAATCTTTCTGTATAAAAAAAGCTGCTAGCACCTTTGCAGAGAGGTAAATATGCCCCACTTTTTGTAGCACGATTGCTGAAATTTTGTCGAAACTTTTATAAAAAAAAAGTTCCTTTGCATGGTTTCAGGCGAGAAATGTAACATCTTCATATGGATGGTTATACATGCTTGGGAAGTCAGGTCTTCCCGGGGTCCATAATCTCAATTGAGCACTCTTAGAAAATCTTCCTAAACTTTTCCACTGAAATAATTACACATAATTTCCGGCACATGCAACCATGAATTGAGAAGGGTAGAAAACATCAAACTCATCTTAACCTTAATTTTGCAAAAAAGCATTAAGACCTGGATACACGCTCAAATTTCCGTCAATTTCCAATCAAAATGATAACAAAAATGGCGGTCAAATTTTTGCAGGCTGAAAAAATTTGATGGTAGATGGTGCGCACCAGTCACCGTTTGATCGGAAATTGATGGAAATTTGAGCGTGTATCCAGACCTTAAAGGCAATGTCACATATGTAACTGCTGAGAATTTCAGATCAACAACACTCAAATCCACAAATAAAATTGCAAAGGACTACGTGCAAAACGGGCCATTTGGGGCTCGGGGCGGATACCTTTGAGACTTGCCCTATTCATTCACCTAACAATGCCCCATCTTTTTCCAAAGTTCCAAGCCCCCCAAAAATTTTGGGGAGACGCGGCGGGGGGTCAAAGTTAAAAACCGGCAAAATTTTCGCGAATTTATTACTCGAAAACCAAGAAGTTTTCGAAAACGCGGTTTAAACGAGCGTGTTCAGCGTGACGAGAGCTTTCAGAAAATGTATAACATCATAGGGTTTTGTCAACTTCAGCTCGAGTTATCGCCTCCGAAGCGCCGGAACGCTCAAAAAAGACCCCTTATTTTTTCACGTTTGGGCCGATTTAAAAAAAAGCCATTTTTTTATTTTGATGAAAAACTGATATGTTGTTCCTGACTCTCTGTAGCCCCTCTGGCTCTTTACCGCATGTTGGGGAAATGTTTTGGTCGCGAGTTATAAGAGCGGAAAGCAGCGAAGGTCGGGAAAATCGGCTATTTTAAACTGCGCGCGGCGACGGATCAGGAGACATGCGGCAACAATGCGAGGTCGGCAGAGGAGTGTGATTCGCCGAACTGAGTGGGAGGGGACGTTTTCCCTCCGATCAACGCCGCGCGCGCAGTTTAAAATAGCCGATTTTCCCGACCTTCGCTGCTTTCCGCTCTTATAACTCGCGACCAAAACATTTCCCCAGCATGCGGTAAAGAGCCAGAGGGACTACAGAGAGTCAGGAACAACATATCAGTTTTTCATCAAAATAAAAAAATGGCTTTTTTTTAAATCGGCCCAAACGTGAAAAAATAAGGGGTCTTTTTTGAGCGTTCCGGCGCTTCGGAGGCGATAACTCGAGCTGAAGTTGACAAAACCCTATGATGTTATACATTTTCTGAAAGCTCTCGTCACGCTGAACACGCTCGTTTAAACCGCGTTTTCGAAAACTTCTTGGTTTTCGAGTAATAAATTCGCGAAAATTTTGCCGGTTTTTAACTTTGACCCCCCGCCGCGTCTCCCCAAAATTTTTGGGGGGCTTGGAACTTTGGGAAAAGATGGGGCATTGTTAGGTGAATGAATAGGGCAAGTCTCAAAGGTATCCGCCCCGAGCCCCAAATGGCCCGTTTTGCACGTAGTCCTTTAAAAGTTTTAAACCATCCGTAAGATGTTGCGTTTCCTTCCTTCCTTCGTAGTTCTACTTGTTTAAGAAATCGCTGCCTCTCAACAGAAAAAATGTTGATAAAGAAAAAAATAATAAAACGGAAACTTACTTGATACCACTGGATGATGGCACCGGTTGCCAGGTCCATCATTCGCAACTGACTATCACGAGAATGAATGATCATTCTTTTTCCACCAGGGTGCATTAAGATGTTATTAATATTAATTCCAGCCAATTCAGACACAATATACTCTTTAGATAAAATCCACCTGGAAACAAATGATTCAAAAACATGACACTTATAAAAATGAAAGATCTGCGGTTTGCCAATAGAGATGTAGAGTTATAATTCTGTAAATTTTTAAGGAAAATTTAAGAATACCCTTTACAGTATGATTAGAGCAAGTTAAAAACAGGTTATGCCTAATGAAAATAAGTGAATAAAACATGAATATGATAAAAGTAATATCAATTCTATTCTTTGGAAACTTCTCTGGAAAGGGACTGGCACAAGGTAAGTGAAACGAAGGTGTGCTCTTCCCAACCTTTTTAGCTAGAACTCAGCTTTCAGCTCCTGCCGCTTGAGTTGTGATGCTGAAGTTTAAATTTTAACAATTTTGCAGTTTTGGCCGAAAACAAATATGAGCACCTGCTGTTGATAAAAATGAAAATAACAGCCAAAGTACTGAAAGCAAATGAACGTTCATTTTTGAAGAATTCGCTTGCATTGTATTTGTCCGTTTTAATCAACAGCAGACGATTATATTTGTTTTCGACCAAGACTGCAAAGTTGTTGAAATTCAAACTTTGCGCTTCAGCTGTAGCGGCGGTAGCCGAAAGCCAAATTCTTGCCAGAAGGGTCGGAAAGAGCATGCCTTCGTTCCACTTACCTCGGGACTGGCACCACTTTCAGTTTTGAAATTGTGTGTTAAGAAAATCTTGCATACCTATCATCTTGAGAAATCCAGGAAATGATGACACCCACACTATCAGCACTGTACAAGATACCATCGCTATAACAGATTGAGTTGACAAATCCACAGTGGACGCTGAGTTCCTGACTAAGTTCGAATGCACCAATTTTCTTCGTGCACAGCCACAAACGAATGACACCATCACAGCAACCAGAGACTACAATATACTTGTTGATGAAAATTGCACAGTAAATATATGAGGGATGAGGAAGCATCTAGACGCAAAGGAACAAAACGAGAAAGTAAAAAATACCTTCAATAAGATTTCAAGGAGATGATAAGTAAAATTACGAACATAGATGCCTACTGAAAAACCTTTTTTTCTCCAACTTTCACTTGTAATCTATTGTCCACTGGGATAAAACTCGCATCAGACAATATCTGAGCATTAAAGGAGTATTGAAAAAAGTTACTTAAACTAGCAATCACAAAAAATGGACAATAAGCTTATTTCCAAAATTGAGGTGATTGCCTGAAGAAATTACAGTCCTCACTGGCAAAGGTCTACACTTCGGCAGATGTACTTGTCTCCTTTCCTTTTAATTCATCCAGAATTGGGGACCTTATTACACTTTGGGAAAAAAAGTTTTGAAAAAGAGTATTCAATAGACAAAATTTTAGAAGTGTCAAGGAGAGAGGGAGAAATGAAAAATAATGCTTTTGCAACAAGATGCACGCGTTGAAGTACCTGTAGCAGTTTAGGTTTCTTGACTTCCAGAATATGCCAAATGCAAACCGTGCAGTCAGCGGATGCTGACAGCAGGAGACTATCATCTGAGCTCCATCGTAATGAGTAAACTAAACCTTGATGGCCTGATAGGAGACAAAACAATTGACCATGTGGGATTGTGTGGATATAAATATGCGAAGATGCAGCAGATGCAAGCAGTAGACCGGACCATGAAAATTGAACTGAGAGCGCACCATGATTGTGAATATTGAGTGAAAGAAGTTTTGAATTGGGTAGTTTGCAAGATTGGCCAATTAAACGAGTCCATTTGACATCTGGAAGCTGAAATAAATAAGGGAGATATACCTGTTGATGAAAAAAATTTCTCAAATACTCTTAATTATGGTAATGGAAAATATTTATACTTATGAAATTAAATAATAAGGAAAAGCATCCTTGAGACACAAATATTCGTACATTATAATACATTGAAGCAGTTTAACACATGTTTTCTCTTCAAAATTTCAGATAGAACATGATTCGCACGACAAAAATTACTGGAATCAACTCCTAACTAAGATTTTAGTTAGTACTAACGTTTTTAGTTTAGATTGGTTGCCGGTTTGAATTTCCCCCTAATGCCGCGATTACATGCTGAATTTGGCAGCTGAATATGGAAGTCAACAATCATCGCTTAACAGCTGAAATTTTGCAAAGTCGAGTTCCTTTAATCTAAAAGTGTATCAAATCTATTCAAATAGTTCAGACAAATCCGACATTATCCAATGGTCGCTGAAAATCGTTGCTGAATTTTGCATGACACACACAAAATTCAGGCATCGGGCCGATGACTTCTACATTCAAGCCACATTCAGCTCCCATATTCAGTGTGTGATTGCAGCATCACAAGTAAAACAATAGTCTACGTAAATCAAATCATGCACTACAATTGTTTAGGTAGGCCTCTTAATTGAGCAATATTCCTTGCCTGCCTTATGTTGTTCTAAGTGTTAATAGTGTGCAACAGCTGAGCTGAAGCAACAAGATTGAGGTTGCCATATTTTCATAACTCAGAGACTGTGACGTAACATTTATTAGTGTAACTCTCTACTAATTCTGTTTTTAATAGGATTGCAACAACGACTTTTACTGTAAATGCAACCTCACAAGAAAAACTTGCTGCTTTTCTACTCACCACTTGGTCTGTGAGATTCCCAGCTAAACATTCATTGTCTTTTGACTCTGAATGAAAAAATTTCAATGACTGTAACCCATCAGTGGGCCTCATTTCTTGAGATGACGAAATACTAGACTTTAGGCCACTGGTGAACTCACTCAATATGGGCATCGTTTTAACAGTGACATAAAGAGTGCTAGGATACGGTTTGAAACAGCGGCTCTTATACCACCAAAACAGCTAAAAAATAGTATTGAAAAAAAAATTGAATAAATAAATGAATTGGGTGACGATGATGAGCAATTTTTAACTAGCACATGAAAAAGAGGGGTTTATCGACGGCGTAAGTCTGCAATCACATATCTCGTTTGCGGTGTCTAAAAATCTCCCCCTCTAAGTTACTTTTTTAAAGGAGAACAAATTGACACCATTCCTTGAAGTTTTTGCAGAATTTTCTTTGCACAGAGAGGAAAAATCACTGCATTTTTAAGGAATTGCCGTTGAGCAGTTTCCCGTTTAAAAAATAAAGTATGACAGGAAGTCTGCAACATTGCAAACCGAGTTAGGTGATTGCTGACTTACACCGTCGTTATACTTCAGGCTTAAACATAATATGTATTTGTCTAAATAAATGCATGCACCAGGCTGATAACTATGAAGAAGGCTATAGGGGAAAATTGCTGGTTCAATAATAAAAGAGAAACATAATTAGGGGTATGATAAGAGAAATTAAATAATAAAGGATTAAGAGACATCATCTAAGAACAGAAAATTGTGCGTGACACAAACTAGGAACAAGGCGCAATGCTTAAACACTGAACTGCACAGAATGTGTCATGAACAATTTCTCATTCTTAGATAATGTATCCTGGTCAAAAGCAACTATGTGAAATACCTGACGCCATCAAAATGTAGAATTTTGATAATGTTTTGATCTCCTATCTACACTTGGTGTTATTAGTTGCAGTTTAATGGACTCATTCTATTGGCGTAAAAAATAATATTCTTTAGTGTACTGATTTTTATGCACATATCTATGGAGCTTTTTGCACTACCACCAGACTTTAATGCACAAAAGTATGTTATTCAAAACTAAACTCAACAACTTCTCTGCTAGAAAAAGTTGGTTTCTTGTAGAATTTATTAGATTATTTTCGTCTTGACCAGAATTTGAAATGATTGAAAAATTTTGGAGAGTGAGTAAACAGCTGATCTTTTCCTTTGCATTCAAATCAGCAGTTTAATTAAATTATTAATGAAAGCCGGTTGTTTCTACACTAATAATTCGATGCTCTCTTTGAATTGTCTGCAATATGATCGCACAAAGATGAAAACACTTACATGAGGAAGCTTCGACTTGGACTGAGATAAAGTTCTGTGCTTTGGTTGAAATAACTGAAGTCTCAGCTTCTTATTCAGATTTGAGTGACTGTGCTCATTCATGATCTTGAGAAATGCCCATGCAATGTGATGCCATGCAGATTCCGACCCAAACTGTGCATATTGACAGTCTGCTAACGAAAAACTAAGTAAGTCAATTACTTCAAACAAAAATAGAGTCGTCGGCTTCAGAAGGGTTTCAGGTGCTTCATTGAAAAGAAGTAGTTCTTCCCATTTTGGTACGATTGACCTGAAAAACAATTAAAAATTAGACCAATTAACGAGTCAATAGGGGAGGTATAATGTCAGCTCCTAGCAACTAAAATCAGATAAGGAAAAAGTTAATTCATCCCACTGTTTTTTCCTCTATTATGACTGACATATTTTAAGTCTAAAAGAGAGTGCAGTGTTATTTAGTTCTGTCACAAACAAAGATACAAAAGACTATAGGTTAACCCTGAAGAGTCTCATTTGAGGTGACTCAGAGGTGAGCAAATTTCAAGAATTACTTGCTTTAATCACATTAATTCCAAACCTGAAAAGTAGAACAAAAAAAGAAAATAAAGAAAATGATAGTTAAAACAATTTAAATTAATAAATAACAGGAGAAAAATACAGTACAGCTGTTGATGAGCCTGTAACTACTTAGTACATCCTGCCATTCTGTGTTATATTCTTAGTCTAAGCCTTATTTCATCCATGTTTTTAGTTATCAAGTGATCATTCATTGGTATTCTACTGACAGCCGATTTGTTAATCTTCAGTGTAGTCCATACCAATTGTTAAGTCATCGTTCATCAGTACCATACTTACAGCTAAATCATTATTCGTAGATACTTTAAAAAATATCTGTTTGTAAAAAGCGGTTTTCAGGTCTACGTTTATGATTAATTCTTTATTGAAATGGACAAGCAAACATCTTCTAGAGTGATCTCTAGTTATTATATGGAGGAAATCAAACATAGCAGGTATTCAGACTGTTGGTGCTGAAGGTTGAATGTATAACTGGACCGCATTTTGCAATTTGGAACTATAAATTCTGGCTCATCTGAAAAGACACTTATGTGCATAGGGAAACTAATGGCACATACGTTTTTTTTTTAAACCGGGCTAGAATTTATGGTTCCTAATTGCAAAACGTAGTCCAACTGGCATTTGAATTTCCAGGGAAGAGGATGTTCAGAAATGCCTAAACAACTTGAGAATATTAAACTGAAATGTAAGGGCAAAATAATCGGACGACCAAAACCTTTGCGTACATTACTTCAATGGGTCTTTCCCGAACAGAGACAAAATTGAAAAGAAAAAAAAAACAGTGAAAAAACTGAACGTGAAGGCTCAGGGTCTGCAACTCAAAATGAAAAGAGACGAAATTAAAATTAGTTATTCATCTGTTCAGCATAGACAATTAACCAATTATTTATCCATGCTGTAGCAACAAATAATAGGGTGGGCCGAAAATTTTTTCTTCTAGAAATCCGAAAACGGCTAGGGCTCCAAGTTGTCAATAGGCACTGACAGAACGACAAAAAAGTCCTATTCCAAAACTCCTCCATCAGCATCGTCAACATGGGGGTTGAAGTTGTGAGGGCTGAATATTCCGATGTTTTGAGTTTTTTCAAAATTAAAATAAAAAAACTTTAAACTTAGTTTGTTTATTAAACAAAAATTTAAAGTACCTAAAACTAACTTTTTGTTGTAAAAATCAAAAGGTTGAGTCATGAGAGGAAGGATAAATTCGGCTGGATCGTGATTGGATTGCTTCTCAGGCATGGATCTCTTGAGAAATTCTCCTGTGTTTTGATCGACAACGTAGACTCTAACTAATGGATGACACACTAAAAGATCAGGTACTAGTCCATCACAGCCATGAATTATTACTCCCAGAATATCTGAAAAAGGTTGGAAAGTTAATCAGTATTTAGAAAGATGGTGTGATAAAGGTATTGAGAAAAATAAAGGTTATTCGATGTTTCAAATTTCAAATGATGTTGCACAGAGAAATAAAAGGTCAAAATTTTAGAAAAAACTTTTGGGCATGTGTTAAATTCACTTACAATCGGTATCAAATAGACTACTGATATAAATTTCATGCTGATTGATGTAGTGAAAATCAATGTAATTTTTCCTCAACGGTCTTCTTCTGAAATCATTTTGAAAAAAGGGAAACAGAGACGAATTAGGATAGAGAGGAACCTAGCTATATGTTTCCAATTTGTTAAAGAGAGAGCGAATGATTGAACCGAAGAAAAGAATTCGTGGTGCTTGAAGGGTAAGTAAGAGCCTGGTAAAATACATAGCTCACAAAGGAGAAACATTTAAACAGCTTATCAGAAAATTTAAACACAAATTATGTATGTCTTGCATCGGCATACTTTTCTCTGAATGACAGTCTGTGTTTAGTTGAAAGGCCTCGTTTTTCCATTGCTGTTTTTCATCGATGATTTCAGATGAAACTTGATCTTCCTTGGAAAGAGGGCCAAGTTCTATCATATCATTTTCAGCTTCTTGTAATTTTTTCATTTTTTTTCTTCTTGGTTTAGGCTTCCTGAAACAAACGATGGAGGAAGGGCTTCATTATCATTTACTACACAAGCAAACCAAATTGTGGAAATTAAAAAGCGGTTCAAGTATAGGTAAACCTAGAAAACTAGGAGACAAAAAATCTTTAAAATGGGGCCAATTTGAAACTTTGACTACCTTATTTTCAAAACAGCACATAATTGAATGGAGGAATGAGGAGACGAAAAGGGAATAAAAAATTGAGTTCCCACAATTACCGCAACACAGGAGCAATTAGATTAAATCCAGTTGGATCCATTGCAAAAAAAATTAATTTGATAACGAGCTCACTATAGAGTACGGGTGTCCTATCAGTATTCCGTAAGTTAACGAAACAGTTCTATTAAAAAGTAGTAATGACGAAAAAACCCTTACTGATAGCTATTGCAGTTTTTGGAGTTGACGAAAATGAGCTATTGCCATGTATATCAGTCTTACGGGCCAAGCAACTAGCAACCAAACAAAAAGACATATGGGACAACAATGCTTTACCTCAGAGCTCATGAAGTTCCGATAGCATTGGCCAAGTTCGACAAGAGCAGCCTTATCTATGTGTATCGGTACATTGGAACAAGCCATACTGATAGCTTAATGACAAGAATTCGTTTGAACACCCCTAACCAAGGAGAAGAACTAGTGTTAAACAACACTTTATTCATTCTCATTGGTACATTAATCACAAACTTCGTTACTACAACTAGTAAAGTAAAAACTGAGGCACAATTTATTTTTAATGATTGACACTATCTGTCAAGATGTATGCTCTCACAAAAAATGCCTCACTGAAAGTGACGGATCAATCCCTGCATAAGAAAAAAAAATAATAATAATTAAAAAAAAAAAAAAAACTCAAGAATTGCTGTATCATAAAGAGTAACTGCACCTTTTGATTGGAGGACTGATATCATCTTCATGATTGGAAAAGGCAACTACAGACTGTTTTGAGACACTGATGATTGCTTGTCCATTCGTTTCTGGAGTATCATTATCTTTCAAAACTTGTGCAGAGCCTGCACTTCGTGGAGTTGAACAGCTTTTTCTAGGCAGTGGTACTGGTGGTTTGTTGGAGGTTTCAGATTGTGAAGCACTGCTGAGCTCATTCATGATGAAGACTTCTGCTAGCTTCGCCGGAGGGATTCTGTCTTTGGAAGGACTTTCTGCTTTATTCTGAGTGGTATCTTCAGGAGTTTTCTCTGAGGTGATACTCTTGGGCTTTGATTGAGAAAAGTCATGGATGTCCACCTCACACAATTGCTCATTGGCCCTCTTAGCCGGGGAGTGTACCAGATTACCAGTCTCAACGATAACAGAGTCTCCGTTGTCATTATCTTCTGCAAAATTGAAAAAAATGTGGAATTACAAGGAAATTTGAAAATGGAAAAATAAATTCAAATTGTTCTAATATTAGTTATTGTAATTGTTTTAAGTCTTGAACGAACCTTGTTAGACAATCTCATCTGAGACCATTGTATTAGCTATGAGCGTCTTCCAAGAAGAAAGTTTATTTAATTAATACTTCAGAGACTAAAATGACACTCGAATCTGTGTAAATTTCCTAATTCATTTTACCTAGAGCTCTGCAAAAAGCCTGAGTTTTTTTTATTTTGGACCAGCAGTTTGAAAAAAAAATTGATTTGAACACAAAAAACTCTAAGGGAGTTCCAACCTTGAACAACTGAAGCTAAGAGGAAATGTACGTTGCCTTGCCACTTACTGAACTGTTTCTGTGGTAAAAATTGATTGACAAGGCGGGATAATATATGTAACACCGTTTTTCTGTCTTTCCAGACATATTGGTTTTAGTGACAAATTTAAGAAAAAATCTGAGAGATTTCATCTTGATTGGTTGTAAATAGATCAATGTTGAGTGTATCATCATGAAGTTGCTGTTACAAAACTTTGTCTATGAGAAAATTGACATTTTTGTTCGTTTTTTGTTTTTGCACAAAAAATGAAGTACTTGCCTTGAATTATAAATGTACGGTTGCTGCCTGAACTGCTATCTATGGAATATGTAGAAGCTGGCGAAGCTCTTCGTAAAGGTATGATCATACTTTGTCCATTTTCTAAAGGGCTTTTTATATCTAATCCATTGCTGTTTTCCCAAACATTTGATCTGCAAAAAAGTACAAAAATTTAGCATGTTCGACAGACATGGGGCCAAAAACCATGATAGTTGCACGGCTAAAGGGAAATAAATCAGAATCAATCTGCAGTAAAGATCTAGATCTGTGATGGTAAGGTTGAAATTTGTAAAAGGTTTATAGGCCAGCTCTTGTCTTGCGAGCCATTACTTTAGGCTCAATGGTAAATTCAAGGGCAGCGCAATGTACACCTATGGACAACAAGTTTCATTAAAAATTGTACAAACTATTGTATACTTTGTGCCTTTTTTGTCTTTTAACCTCTTAGCTTTGTTATGTAGTAATTCTTGCCCACTAATGGCTTGGTTGTTGCTTTCATACCTTGGCTCGGCTAAGAAATAATCAACATTGAATTAAATTACTTTAAAAAAAAATTAAAAAATTAAAAAAAAAAATAGAAACTTTCATAAATCACCACTTTATGAGCAGGTTCTAGAGAAGATGTCGTTTGAACTTTGCCTGTTAAAAAAAGTTCACCACAAAAATTTTACAATTACAAAGATTATTCACTGAAAAATAACAAGATGCTTCCTGATTTATTTGTTCACAGGTTTTTTAAGAGCTTTCTCTTCATATTTTTTTTTAAACTCTGCCCTACTGGACATATCTGTATGGTAGCAACTCAGTGATTGGTAAAACCTACTTCAGAAAAAAAAATTACATGATCCTTGTTTTTAGCTTTAGTAGAAAAACATTAAAAATTTAAATGGTCTAGCACTTACACAACTGATTAATTTACTCAGAGCAGATTGGAACAATTCAAAACAATTTCAAAACGAACTTAGTTTAGAACAATTTGGGTCAAATCAATTCCAATCAGAGAAAATGAAGTATAAAGTGTCACTGTTCTTACCGTTTTGTTTCAGGGTAGATATTTTGCTTCTCATCATCACTTAAATTTCCACCAGATAAAGATGTTCGTTTTTGAGGCGGTCTAAAGGACATCATTCACCTCAGACAAAATTCCTCCTGGTAGCAAGATACAATCTAACAGCTAAAAAGATTTGGAAATCCATTGAGGTCATTTTGAGTGTAGCTGTTGAGAGTGAGTTAAACCTTGCAGTATCTTCTTTCCCCATTAACAGAATGATAAAACGGCAAACTTTTCTATTCTTTCATTCTGATCTTTTCTTCTATTCTTTCTGACATACATCAATTAAACTTGCGGAATTTTTTTCAGATGTCTACTTTTATACCTTAAATAAGAAGATCAAACTTCAAAACATCGTCCCTCAAGTCCAAAAACGTAAAATATTGAATGAGATCAGAATTTGACTTATTTTACTTTTTCTCTCCAAATATAATCATGAATAGAATGAGGAATAAAACACCAATGATTTCTAGGACATAGAAATTCTGTTTGGTAAGAACTTCTTACGATTAGTTCACGCTATTGGGCCTTGGCGATATTTGGGTTTGAAAGTCTAAAAAAAATGGCACTATTATTTTATCTTTCTGAAACTACCTACTAAACTATATCGTTAAGGAGAAAAGACTTCTTTTACCATAGACGACAAATATTTACTGAAATAAAAATTGTAGAAATATTAATTTCAAGATATTCTGTATCAGAGGTGAACAAACATTAGCATTGGAATAATACAGAAACTAGAGGAAAATTATTAAACTTAGCTGACTTTAGTCTTTTTTTCATTTTGCTTCTCATTTTAGGCATTAAAAGTTGATTAACAATGCAGTATTAACAATGTACGTTTACAGGAATATCATACCAGCTGGGACTCACTGATAAAAGAGACAGAAAGAACTCCAAAATGCAATTGAGTCTAAGAAACAAAGTGAACTAGTTGAGCTCATTAATTTTTAAACTCCTCACATATTTTCATGATCACTACCGTGAATTTACTGTTCATAAAACTTATTTGTTGTGTCAGGGTAAAAATTAATACAAAAAGCAAATATTACTTTTACTCTTAAATTGTAGGGAAAAAAGTCTCATCAATACAGTGCGAAAAGCTTAAATATTGATTTTCCATTTTAAGTTTTAGGAAATGAAACGAAAATGACTTTGCAAACCCCCTTTTCCTCAAAATATCCTTTGAGGACCCCAAATTGAAGCAAAATTAAACTAAATCACCCCTCAGTTCAGCAAACAAAATACAATAAAATTTATTTAAGCCTTATTTGTCTTTCAAATAGAAGTTCAAAACATTTTTTGGGGAAATATATGGCTGACGTCAGCTCCTAAGCTATTTCTGTCCCTTTTAAAGCCGTATTTAGTATTTCAGAAACATTTGTCCAATAAAATGGTGTTTACTTCTGAAACAGCATCAGTTTAAGTAACTTGTGTGTTGCTGACGTACCATTGTGGGACTTGATGCATGCATGTTTCACTAAGAACTTGCACAAGCAGTTTAATAAATAAACCGATAAGATATCTTCTATAAGGGACAAAAGCTGCTTAGCAATGTTGTCTAGCAAACCTCAAGAGGCAAAAAAAGGAGTGAAGTGCATTATGTTGGCAAAAAGGTTGTAAGGAGGTACATGTAGAATAGCTCCAAAATCTATTGAGTTAGGAAGCGTAAACCAGTTTATCAATTAATCTTCCTTGGACGATTGATCTATGGTTACCTACATATTTTTTATAACTTTAGGATTTCCTCATCGCTCCTTCACTTTAAAAGTTATAAAATATTTGGTTCGATTATGATCTTTTAAAGAGATAACTCAGCCACAAAAATGGCCTTGAATGACTTAAGTGCACAGTGAACTTTAAGTTTTGCTCAAAATAAATCTACATTATTAGATGTCTTCTTTTAGGATCTATGCAATAAGTACATTGTTTTTCCAGGGTCTTTTTACTGTGATGAATAACCAGGTAATTGGAAAAAATGTTGGTTTTCTGTGAGCTGTAGCAAGTACAAGACGAGTAAACTGAATAAGTTTTAAATAGAAAACTAATCAGGCCACAATGATAGCATAGTATCTATTATTCTGCAGAGACATTATCGCTGTTATTTGGCAGGGGCAGTACTCATTGCTTTTCACAAAAAAATTAATTCAATCTACATCACTGAACTCTTATCTGCGGTCAATTTTTGTGATTTTGTCTCAAAACAGTTTACGTCTAAGATCTTGGAGCGGTTCCTTTTTAGGATTTGCGAGAAGCTGGGCAGTGGAATTTGAGAGCACCTAGTTGAACTTCAGTGACACATTTTGCACACATCATTGCCACTAGCTAAACATTTGTAAAACAGCAGGATATTGATAGTAAGAGTCTTGAAGAAAAATTGGACAAAAATTAAATTTTCAAATTTTATATGAGTTTAAGGGGGCTCAAATGATGCATGAAGAGCAGAGGAATAAGTTAGATTACCAGCTTAATTTTCTGAACGTCAAAAAGACATTTTTAGTTGCATTTAGTATATGACACTTCCTTGATTTTAGCACTAATTTAAAGTAAAAAGAATTGAGAAATCATACAAATTAAGTTTGGGCCAAGAGAGAGACTGATCGATACTCCTATTTTGCAGGGAGACTAATTTATGCTTTGTAGTTTCTATTGGATCTTATTTTTTGAACTACTTTGAATGTGCTCCAAGGATTAAACAAGTTAAATAATAAATTAAGGTAATTTTAAGATGAGAACACTTAGGAAACTCTCTTCTTAAAGTTACATGCTATTATTTTTACTTCCAAAGATAGTAGATTCAAATATTGGAGAAAAACGAAAACTAAGATGAAATAAGCAGGGTTAATATTTAAAATTGACACTAACAATTAAACTTTAACAATATTCACAAAAATAATAGATGAAAAAAACCATGACAAAAAACTTTATGAGAAATCTTCTCTTGAATTCTTGAAAGACATTAAAAAACTTTGTTTATTTAAATGTAAAGATAGATAAATGTTTATGGAACAACATTTTACACAACTTACTTTGGTAAATGAAAAACACACTCACACTAAAATAAAGTGGATATGGTCAATTGAAATCGAAAAAACCTGCCAATGAAATGGGAATTCAATATCGTTTTCTGCATGCTTGCGATTCATCTCGTCAAATGCAGTAGGCTGTGTTTCTTTTCCTGTTGCCATAGCAACGAATGGAGTCACAAAGTAAACAAATATGAGCCTTTATTGAAGGGTATCATAGACTGTCTCAGAATGTCGTCAAACCTGAAAAAATAAATGATCTGAGTTCCACAATAATATTTGGTGAATTCGTATCATCAAAGGAGATCTTGAAAGAACTGAAATATACCTTTGAGAGCATAGAGAGTGAAGGGAGTTGACTAGAGAAAGGAGAGGATATCTTCATTTGAAATTTATTTACTGATTTAGTTATTTATTTCAAAATTAGCATGGCCAAGGACAAAGATCTTATTAACTAACTTTGGAATTTATTAATTAAGGTGATAAGCTTTGATTAAAACTAGGAGGCTGCAGCTAGACCCCTTCTAAACTGCGTTGCGTCTTTTGTGTGTGGGCACACGTTACAGTTACAATTGTGGTGCATGCATGGGATGTTCATATTCAAAAATTTTTTGCCAAATTCCATAGTGAATTCAATTTACAGAATCTTTTACGAAGGATCAAAGCTTGGACCTCTTCTCTTTTGCCCACTGCTGTAGACCGCTGAGCACAGTACAAGGCAAGCATAATTTTCAGCAAGTGCCTCCTTTTCCGATTTTTTTTTTTTTTTTTCCTTTCGCTTCAGGGGCCCGGTTTAGGGTTCGGTATTTTCTCATAAAGAACCTTCTGGCCATACTTCAATCAAGGTCAGAGTGGGACACTGCGTTATCCCTCGTGAGTCCATTTTAGCACCGAGGTCCATCATTTTTGTAAAGAGCATTTTGGATTTAACTATTTGTTCCAGGGTAGCATTTACTACTCTTATGCAATAATAATGAGTGATGAAAGAGGATATTCACAGGGTAGTTGGCAAAATTTCATTTTATCATTCCCTGACTTTTCCCTGACTTCTTCTAATGAAACTCCCTGACTTTTTTACGATAAGGGCACTTAAATAATGTGGTCAAAACGTTGGCACAACGATGCGATCAGCTGACCCGTTGCGGACCCGATTTTTACGTGGAGCCCGGCTCCACAAAAATTTCCCTGACAGTTGAAAAAATTTCCTGACTTTTCCATGATTTTTCCCAGTCGAGTTGCATTCCCTCCCTTTTCGCCTGGTTTTCCCGGTTGCTAGCCACCCTGTATTCAGTAATGGGTTCCAAATTCAAAACTTTCCTTTCCTCTATCCTTTCTCTTCCTTCTTCTTCGTAGATGACATTTAATTGCCCTCCATTTTTGGACAATTTGGGCTCACATTAATCAATCTCATCCAGAGAAATTTGAGTTAAACAACATAATGTACATATACTCACTTTAATCTTTACCTTGACACACAATCAATATTTTTTTAACAATGACAGATATGTATCATAAAAAGACTGGTTGTTAACTTATTTTCTTATGGTGCAGCTTCTTTCCTTTTCCCAGCTACAAATTTGGCGTGTTTTTTGGATTTTAAGTGAGCTTCCCATTGCAAAGTACCTGGAAAGGAAAAAAAGAAAACAATCTTTGGGAATCGTTTTGGATAAAAGTTTTGGTAATATGCGATGCACTTCTTTTCATCCAAAGAGTTTAATGTAGAATCAAGTCCATTGTTTGTTCCCAAAGTATGAAGATGCAAAATTATGAAAACTTCAGTAAATAGCTGATACTAGCAAAATCTTTACAATTTCTTTCCTTCATGATTATCTTATACAGTGCAGTCTTGGATTGAATTGTGCGATTTCAGATCATGGATAGTCATTTGAAACGTTTTAAAGGAGAGGAACTTGTCAAGTGAATCATCTATGAAAAAAATAGAGCTGGAAATATAAATAGAGAGATCAATTGCTAAGGGTGCTAACAATAATCCACTGTGCTAAATTTCATAGCCCATGATTGGTCTTGCTGGAACACGCAGGAGACAAAAACAGGGTGGGAGTTATGCCAGGAGAGTACAGTCTGTATTGATACACAGGTATTCTGCAAGTGATTTTTTTTAAAGAAAGGATGATACTGCCAAAAAAAGTGAGTATAAAAGTGACAATACAATGATTTTTTTTTTAAAACTTTTAATTTCAATTTTTTCAATTTTTCTGGGCGAGGGGCCACAAAATACCAATAATGAAAATAAGTGCAAAAAATAGTCCTTGTTTTTCCCTTAAAATGAGCTGAAGTGTATGTTAAGAAAACAATTAGTTGCTGAGTTGTGACTTTTCAAAGTTGACGCAGCAGGGTACAGATATGGACCTTGGGCAAAATAGGGAGTGTGATGTTTCAGTAACTTCCAGGAACCTTTGCTCCTATTGGTATTTTTTCCATTCTATTAGGGCTTTTTAGGACCTAAAGGAAGTTTTAATCCCCTGCGTTGATTCCAAGGCTCCTAACTGGTGCCATTTTTTTTTCAAGGGAAATTACTTCACTTAAAATAGGAGAAAAACAGAATATGCAGTAGAAATGCTTTTTTGAGGTATAAATAAATCCAAGAAGAATGAACCGTACAACAGAAATGTTTTTTTGGGATATAAAATAGGCTTATCTGTTACATAGGCTTGCTCATTGATACGATCTGATAGATGAAACACTTGCGCATAACAAACACCATGCAATCTTCAATGAATAAGTCACAAATTTACTGCGGAAATTAGGTGGTATAAACAGGCTATTGATAAATAAGTATTACCACGGAAAAACTTTAAATGCGACTGATGCACTGTTAGGCCTATGAAAAGAAACCCCAATTGCTAAATAAAGAGTCTCCTGAATCTACAAATGAGCAAATCACCGATAAACATAGATTAAAGTACTATCAATGAAATCAAAGTCCTCAATACTCACCGATAAAAAGCCGTTGACAAGGTTCACAATAGAAATTTTTATGCCGATCCTGATGAGGGTGATCCGTTTTATTTGGAATTGGTTTTATTTGACACTTACTCAAACCCTCAACGCCATCGGTGAGCAAATGACTCACAACTTCAGATGCTGGCGAGAGAACTTTCTCATTCCACTCGTCTACATTGCTACTGTCAACATTATATATTGGTGGAATCTGAATTTTAAAAAAAATTAAACTTAATTTTACAATGTACATTAAAGGACTACGTCAACAATAATTTAATTGACAAAGTAATAGTACTTCTTTTTAGGGAAGAGCAACATTCTTTAGGCCCACTTTCGATACAATGACTAAAAGTTCTCATTGATGACTGAGTATGAAAACTGTGTAACTTAATTTTTGCAACCGGTAAAAATCTCCAATGAAGTTTGATTTTCTTCAATTGAAATAATCGAGAAATTTCCTTAGATTCTTTTAGAAAGAGGGGAAAAAATTTAGAGACAATTCCAATAGAAACTTTCGGTTAGTTTTCCTTGAAAATAAACAAAATATATGCGGGGACTTACAACGCTGCAATATGAGGTGCATTTTTCGACTTTCTTCACTGATATAATCAAGGAGAAATAATCATCTTAAGGTTTATGCGATGAAAAAAAAGAGAAAATAATCCATCCTGATTCAACAGATTACATTCGGCAAAACCCAAATGAAATCTTTTTAGTCGTTTTACTTGTGTCACTGCTCAAAGGAGCAAAAAATTACAAATACGGGGGGGAATCTCTTGATAGCCGACCATGCAGAAACACTTTCTAAAATATATATTATTTTTCAAGAGCTCTAAATACATTGAAAACTACCCTTTTTCATCGGATACTATTGCTTGTTCATGCATTTTTGCAGCATATGAATGACATAACAAAAATATCTTTCAATTCATTTACCTACACAAGATGAAAATGTTTGAAGTTGAAGCAAGTATCAAGTTGAACAAGTTGAGGGTGAATAAAAGTGTCCTAGGACATGATTCTTACCTGCCTGTCCTTTGATCCGAAAAACCTATTTTTCAGCCATTTAATTTGAGAGCGAGAATAACGCCAAGTGCTCATTTTTAGAGCATTGATCCCTTCTTGAAGTATCCGTTGACCCTTTGCTGTTTTTCTTTCCTCTTTGTCCAAGATCAGGTAGTTGTGAAATTCTTTGAAACCAATTGACTGAAAGATGCCTTTTGTATAATCTGCAACCCTGAAAATACAATTTGGAAATAAAAACCAAAAGTGGAAATCTTTTACTCACCTACAGTCGATCCAAAATATTTATTATGATACAACAACACCATCAAAATAGACTTTTTCTGCAAGAATATTTGGATCGCATTTCGCAAAAAGGAACCAGCGTGATTACAGGGTTGTAAAAATGTTGCTTCTTCATAAGCATCTAAAAAATCTCCCAGAATAGGGAATAGTTTTTTCTTCCAACCAAAAAATGTTTGATTTTAAAGCAAAATAATTTTGTAAATTTGATTACTGTACAAATATTAGGTATTTTGAAAAGAAAAGAAGAAGTTTCACGATTTTGGAAACACTGTAATTACGCTGGTTCCTTTTTGCTAAATGCGATCCACTTGTCAACAAATTTTCCCGGTGGAATGTCACTACTGTTTTTCTTATGCTCTCTTTTGTTTTATTTTAATACTTCCTACCTGAAAATATCTCCGGGGACAAAAAAGTTCAGAGATGTAGAGAGTTCTTAGCCGCCTCATTTTCCGAATTGACCCAGTGAACTACGCCACTGAACTGACCTTCCCATTTAAAAGCTCTATTAATTTTCCCAAAAATTTTTGAAGCAAGAATTTTTCTTAAGTCCCTCTTTTCACAACTTGACGCAATTTTGCGAAAAACACACAAATTTCACGGCAATTCGACGAAAAGCAAGCGGACTTCACTGCAACATTTCAGGAACCACGCGATTCTACTGCTTTAGCAAGCTAGCCTATGCTATTTTCATAGCTTTCACATGTTTTCACGCAAGCAGCCGTGTGATCATTATTGCTTGATCAATCTCTGTATTCAAGCAATATTACTAAAGTAATTTTTTTCATCTTCAAAATTCATAATTTCTCCTTTGAGGAGCCTTTTCTCATTTTACCTTCTTCCTTCAATTTATCTACTGGCAAAAATGAGCTCATTGAGTTTCTAAAAAGTTCATTAAAAAGAAAAATATAAGAGATGTATAAATATACATAAATATATATGAAACCTACTCGTTATTGAGCAGTCTTTGGGCATTGTACTCGTCATGAAAGTCCGATATTTCTTGAATTAATCCACTTTCAATCATTTCATCAACTCGTTTGTCTAATCGCGTATCCAAAACAGTCTGAAAATGAAGGAAAATGAATTAATTACTAAATATGAGTTGCATGGAATCAAATCACTCTGTCTATTCAGTGGTAGGCATCACAAATCTATCAAACATATCTCAAAACTTTTAAAATTTGTTTTAACGGATGAAGTTATAATTTAAGTTGTATTAAACCAACGTAGCTTCAATAGTGCACACCTACTCTAGCAATGAATGAAGTGCAGGGTGCAGGAGGGGATTTCCTTGGATACAGTTTATTTTAGAATCTCTACTGAAATTTGATCCATTAAAGAAAAACAAAGAATATGTACTTATGCTTATTTTGATAATATTTCCACAGGATATTCTTCGTGGTTTTACGATGTTCTGAAAGAAAAATTCCGAATAAATCGCCCCATTTTGAGGAGAGAGGTGACTGGCAAATTTTTCTTTGACATTTGGGAGGACTAATACTTAAGTCGAGACGCGTCGACTGATGCCTCACTCAAGGTTTTCGAAAAGAATTGGGCTGCTAATTTCCAAAACCGAAAATTTGAATTTTTGGGTGAAATATTTGTTGGCAATTTTTTGGAAGACACGAGAAAAGAAACGGGTCGAAAATTTAAAAAAAAAAACTCGACTCTACCTCAAGGTCTTCAATTTTGTGCTAGACGCATTTTGTGCGACTGAAGAAGAGGCTGCGACAGACTCGAAACACGTCCAGCACAAAATTGAAGTTCTTGGGGTAGAGCCGAGTTTTTTTTATTATTTTTGACCCGTTTCTTTTAAATCTTACCTCAAATGATTATTGGTCTCGCTTTTAAAGTTTTAACACAAGAAAAGACTGGCAAGAGACCGGCACTTTTTGAATCCAACTTTGAAATTGTTTGCAAAAAATTCCGGCTGCGAACCTCGTAAGGGCGAGCGCGCGAGTAGCGCGCCGACATAGACTTCGCGCGGCGCGAATGCGACAATTCCGAGAGCAGGGTGTCTACAAAAACAGGCTGGCCAAAAATCAGTACTTTTACGGTACTTTTTCAGCGCATTCCCAAGAAATTCAGTACTTTTTCAGTACCTCCAATGGACGAAATTCGGCAAATTTAAAAAAATTGAATTTCCCGCTTAAGTTGCGACATAAATGACAAAAAAATGAAAAAAATTCGGACCATCTTGCGGAATTCCGCTCTTCATCAGTGTTTCCGGACTGCCCTGAAAAAATCAGTACTATTTCCGGCCTTGGCAGCAATTCTGGACTTGTGGACACCCTGCAGGAGAGGCAATACCTATGACCGCACGAATCTCTATAAAATGTTTAAAAGGTGGACTATATTTATTTTTATTTTTTCCTTCGAAACCAGCGGATATCATTTTTTCATCATTTCTCCTCCCGCACCCTTTTTTTCCTTCTTTCCTTGTGTGCCCAGTCAGTCGCTGTCCCTTTAACTCGCGTTGCGAGTTTTGATTCCGTGAATTAAGTGCGAAAGAGTATACACGAGCCCATAGGGAGACATTTCAGATAGAAGGAGTCTATTGATCTTAAGTTGACAATGACAGAAGATTGAAGGTAAGGAGAGGGAACACTCAGAGGGATGCACTCTGATGATGAGAATGTATTTTTATGCAGCAGGAAAATCAATCAAAATACATCTAGGTAAAAAAAAAAAAAAAAAAAAAAAAAAAAAAAAAAAAAAAANAAAAAAAAAAAAAAAAAAAAAAAAAAAAAGAAGAAGGATACGGGGAAAAAGTCTCGATCTCATTGGAAAAAGCACACTGGAAAAAAAGAAGTGGTTTTATGAAAGGAGATCTTTAATTTTATTAATTTATATAAGTCAGCTTCCATGTGAGGACACTTCGACACTAAGTTCTCCTTCAATTATGCCGGATAGGCAACATATCTTCCGATAAAATGACAAATTTAGGAATAAAAAGATTAACATTAAATATTTTTAAATAGCGCAGTCTAATCATTTGATTTAAGTTGTCAAGGTCTAGCGATTAGTGCTCCGTCCTCTCCAAAATTTTTCCTCATGAAGATAAGAGGTCCCGTTTCCTGCCAGGCGTCACATGAGTCCTTCTCACTTTTTGGCAAGGACGCGTAGCAGCGATAGTGAGGTCGAAGGCATGCTATCTCCCTTCTCCTTCCTTTTTCTCCTTCCTGTGGGGATTCACGTTTCGTCCATCCGCCTCATTCTATGTTTCTGTTCGGTTCAGTACATTTCCCATTTTTAGCACACAAAAACTAATTAATAACACACCCCCCCCCCCCCGGTATCCTTCTAACTATTCCTTTATCTTCCTCCTACAGCGTGGGTACCACACCGCTCTAGGTATACTATTACGTTACACTAAGAGAAATCGTAGAGAGAAAAGTGTACACGTCAACTCTGCTGCGCAAAGGAAAAACGCCGTATGAGCCTTTAGATGTTGCCAAGTTACATTTGATAAAATAATAATTTATTGGAAAAGTTTTAAATATTTCTCCTCAAATTTTTCAGAAAATTTAGTCCGCAATTTAATCTGAGTACCATTTCTGAAAATTTCAAGGAAAAATAAGAATAACTTTCCTCAAATATACTTGTTTTACCTGTAGAAATTTGACAACTCTTGGATGTTGATATGGCGTTCTTCCTTAGCACGGCAGAACTGAGGATTTTGATTTTAAAACGAACAAGAGCCAGGAAGGAAAAGCCTCGAAACTTTCTCCAGAAGGAAAAACTCGAGAGAGAGTAATGAGTCTAAATGACTCTACCACAATGGAGATGTTGCATGTGTAAGGGATTTGTGATTTGACTGTTGTTTCATATGTAAAATTTCGCGAGAAACACGATGGTGCCACTGGTTTTCTCTGAAATCATCTCCCAAGCTCAAAAAAAGCTCTCAAGTTGGGGCCGAAAAGGAGGGGTTATCCTACGTTATCCTGAGAGTCCACGTATACATCAAGACAAACTCTCCATGCAAAGATAGGGAGCAAATACATTTTTAGAGTCCCCAAATAAAGTGGCAGCCCTGTCAATGTATTTTGTATCTTTGCATGGAGAGTTTGTCTTCATGTAGAGGTGAACTCTCAGGATAGCGTGGGATATCCCCTCCATTTTGGTCTCAACTTGAGAGCTTTTATTGAGCTTGGGAGTTGATTTCAGAGAAAACCAGTGGCACCGTCGTGTTTCTCGCGAACCTTTACATAAGGATCAGTAGTTGAATCGCAAATTCCTCACACATGCAACATCTCCATTACCTATGTGGCTTCTTTAAAATATGATTCAAATGGTACTCTATTTTGAGGCGTTTCATACCTGATTTGCTTGAATCCAAAAAATACAGGTGTTCTGAAAGCGGAGGGGACCTCCAAGATCACTACCACCCGCCTCACTTCTTTGCTCCTTTATGATCCCGCTGTGAGTTTTCCCGGTTCTCAGATACACTTGCAAAGACCTGCAACAAAATCGGTGTCAAATAAGAGGGAGACTTGGCTAAATTCGACGCCGTAAGTCGGCAATCAGATCAGAGGGAAGATCAGAGGTTGTGAGCAATACAAGTACCTAGGTGTGCGCTTAACATCTGATGGCAAAATGGACCAGGCAATCAAAGATCGGAATCTGCAGGGGAGGAAAGCCATTGGAACGATGAATGGTATTCTTTGGGATCAGACAATATCCAAAGTTAACAACAAAAAATATTGTCAACTCCCTGATGACCTGTGGGAAGACCGAGCTTTGTGGCGATTAGGCGTCGCACAGCGCCAAAGAGCGCTATAAAAGCGACTCATATATATATATAACAACAAAAAAAACAAAAAAAAATTAACTCCATCATCAAAAGCATATTAACCTAAGGCAGCGCGAGGTACCGATGGCAGTTGAAGAAACGGTCCCAGGACATTCTTAAGACATCCGAAATGGACTAATGGTGTAGATCGGCCGGAGTGTCGACAAAGAATCACATTCGGAATGAGAAGATACGTGAAATTATGGACGTCGAAAACAACATGTAGTGCATGACATTTTCACAAAACAGCTTGTCTAGTATGGTCATGTGCAACGAATGCAAGATGATAGGTTGCCTAAGGTTCTGGATTGGGTCGCCTCCCTGGCAGAAAGCGTAGAGGACGCCCTGCCAAATCGTGGATTGAGGGAATAAGGCAGGAAATGAGGAGATGCGATCTGCCGGAGGAGCTCTGGCAGGATCGCTGTCAGTGGCGGTTGGGTGTCGCAGAGCGCACAGAAGCGCTATAAGAGCGGCTTGTTAGTAGTAAGTCGGCGATCACATATCGACGGTGAAACTACCAAACCACGTATCTCGTTTGCGGTGTTTAAAAATCTACGCTCACATTTTATTTTTTTGATATAGACCAAATTAATATCATTCCTTGAAATTTTCACAGAATTTTCTCCGCATGAAGAGGAAAAATCACAGAAATTTTTAAGACTGGACGTTAAGTAGTTTTTCATTTAAAAAATAAAGTATGGCAGGAAGTCTGCGACGTCGCAAACCGAGATACGTGGTCTGGTACTTTCACCGTCGATATCTCGTTTGCGGTGTCTGAAAATCTCCGCCTCTGTTATTTCTTCAAAGGAGAACAAATTGACATCATTCCTTTAAGTTTTTGCAGAATTTTCTTCGCGCAGAGAAGAAAAAATCACGGCCGTTTTAAAGAGTTGCCGTTGAGTAGTTTTCCGTTTAAAGAATAAAGTATGATAGGAAGTCTGCTACGTCGCGAACCGAGTTATGTGATTGGCGACTTACACCGTCGTAATGTTCTGCCGCACAGTGTGTCAAAACCCCAATCTAGCTGCTCAAAACCTCTTCACGTCTCTAAATTTGATCGGATAACCACCAAATTTCGCACAGGCATTAGTGTAAGCTTGAAGAAGGTTCACCTAAAATTTCAAAACTTAGTCATCAAAATTTTCAAAATGGCGGCCATCTAAAAATCCTGTTCAACTCATGTAAAAATCGTAAAATTTCAACTAAATTTTAGGCGCCTTATGTGACCTGATGAACCCCAAAAATTAGTCAAATTGTGTTTTCCGATCCAAAATAAGTCCTGGAGGATGTCTTGGGCTTGTCCATTCCACTTCAAAATGGCGAATTTCTCATTTGGCCATCCAAAGAAATATGAGTTCCATATTATTAAAATGATACGTTTCGGCAACTCTAAGTGACAAGTCAAAGATAATATTTTCAAAATGTTTGCCTGTAAAGGAAAATTTCGGCGAGCCCCCCCCCCCTCCTCCTTTTCATTTTCCTACGTTTCGTATGTCCGAAACCTTTCCTCATTAGAAATAAATAAGAAAGTCTGTTTCAAATCATACAAGAAACTTGTTAAAAATACGATGCAACTTTGTATTTGAGGACCCCCCTCCATGACAGTATAGATAATGGGAAAATCGTAATGAAAGAAAATAAAATTTTAAAAAATTGAAGTGTTCGGGATTTGAACCCCGGTCATGCAGGTAATAATGAAAGAGGCAATCAACTGAGCCACCATACGTACTTATCTGCCCCGGTGAAAAGCCTCATGATAAGGCTCACTCAAATCAGGGGACCGAGCGCGCGTGGTGAGATGCTGCCTCAGTCTCAATTCACCTGTGACAGCCTGTCGGGGGAGATCGCATAACGCCGCCCGCACGCTTTTACACTAGGAATCGCCGAACAAAATGTGCTCTTACTCTCAAGGTCGCGGAAGGTCGCAGTAAAACTAAAGATATTTCAAATCTACATAGTTTTCTGAACACTCTCATATAAGTTTCATGGTGTTCCGTGTAGTTCCGCGCTTTTGCGGCTCTATTAAAGCCAGGAAAAGTAAACGGTCTTGGTCACTGTTTTCAATGAGCAATTATAATACTTAAATAATGATTTTGGAGAAATCAACGGTCATATTTCCTTTCTCTGGCCTTTGGCATCTCGTTTCATCCAGAAATGACCCTTTTTCGCCACGAAGTACTCTAAAAAAAAGCAATACAGTGGCACCACGCCTGATGGCGAGATTGAGGCTGGACGTTTACCGGCTGCAATCCCTAACATTTTAGCGACCAAAAAATTTATTTTTGTGATAACCATGATAGATACGTAACCAGTGGGTGCCTGTGGACCCACTCTGACCATAAATAACACCATTTGTTGACTTGATATAAGGGGGGTTTTGAGCAGCTAGATTGGGGTTTTGACACACTGTGTGCCGTGCTGAAGAAGAACGCCGTGTGAACCTTTGGTTGTTGCCAAATTTCCTCTGGCAAATCACTAATTTTCGGGAAAATTTTTGAATATTTTTCTGCCAATTTCTCAAATAATTTTGTTTGCAATTTGATCGAAAGTGTCTGCAAATTTCAAGGAAAAATATTCACAATTTTTGTTTAAAATAAACATTCCATTGTAGGAAATCGGGCAAATCTCGAATGTTCGTACGGCGTTATTCCTTAGCGCGGCAGTTTTGGCGTCATTAGTCGATACGGTACGGTTTGAGGTTGTCTACGGAGTTAAACACACCGAAAAGAGGAATGGGGAATCCCAGTCAAGTTCTTGGCTGATCTTCAAAGTGTATGGTCTCTTTGTATCTATGTGCGTGATTTTGCGTCCCTTTTCCGAAAAGGGAAATCAGAATCGGAAATCCCGCCAGGTCCGCACTGCACCGTGTCGTAGCGTCGTCGGCGTCGAGCCGGGGGAGGCCCAAGCTAGATCCACGGCGACTGCTTGAGGCGCCGCGCCGTTTCCTGACGAATCTTTAAGGTTGAATAGGTCTGTCGCAGACGAGAAATACAGATAAATGAATACTGCCGTGCTAAGGAAGAACGCCGTATGAACATTCGAGAGTTGCCAAATTTCCTTCGATAAAATGTCCATTTTTGAGGTAAGATGTGAATATTTTCCCTTGAAATTTTCAAGACTTTTCGGCGAAAGTACAAGAAAAATTATCTGAAAAATTGGAAGAAAAATATTCATGAGTTTACAAGGAAATTCATGTTTTGTCGAAGGAAATTTGGCAACGCTTGAAGGTGCATACGGCGTTCTTCCCGAGTACGGCAGAATAGACTGCTAGTAAAACCACCGAACGCCGAACATCGCGATGAGCACGTCGACAAGGCGGAAATCCACTCCTTAGAGCACAGGGACCGATTATTTCCTAGACGATGTAAGCGCCAACATTTATGACATTTGGTTTTAATCAGTGGCATGGCGTGCTTTGCGATTTATCGAAATTTCCCCATTTGAAGCTGTGGTAAATAATCGATTATTAGGGTGTTCGCTGCGAACACCCTGTCAGTCGAAACTTTACCATAGATTTAAATGGCCGATCAATCGATGTACCGCAAATCACGCCACGCCACTGGTTTGAATGAATTGTTATTGCCTGTGTGGGTAAAAAAAGTGTCATTGCATATCGAAGTATGAAAATAAAAAAATATATAGAGTAAAGATTCCCGAACGAGAATGCTCGTTGAGTCGACCGGAAATCTCTCGAGGTGATTCGATACAGTCTTCGGCGTAGTCGAACTAATGTGCGGTATATCACATTGATCAAGTAAAAAATCTCGGCAGATTTGAAGTTTTAGCCCCAAGAATGACGGTAGCCACTACGCATGAGCCTAAAGAACCATATATGATTAAAAAGCCTCTAGACCAAAAAATTGATAAAATCCAGAGAAATGAATGCAGCAGGGTCCGTTTTGGAAAAAAAACTTAGCATTTGATATCACTATCAGGGTCGGACTGGCTCGCATCTGAGGGCGTAGACCCTTGGCTGGTTAAAGGGGCGTAATGTGATATTTCTTGATGAGGCATCCCTTTCGTGAAGAGGGGCTCAGAAAATTTTGGCAAAGCAACACAATTTTACGCTATTTTCAAGTTCAAAGTTCATTAATCGTACAGAGTAAAAATTGTAAAATTGAACGTATTGAAGTGACCGATAGACCTCTGAAATTAAAGAAAACAAAAATATTAAAGCCACTAGACGCATCCAAGAACCATTATTTCCATGAGAACCGTGTCAGTGCTGCGGTTTACACGAGCTTTAGACGTGGGTCTGAAAATCCATCCTAAAAAAGAATCAGGCAAGAACCTGAAAAAAGAAGGAGGAACGAGTATAAACACAGCCAACGACAAGAAAAACGTATTCGGGCCTCTTTTTTAACTTTTCTCCCGAATCTGAGCGATACCTCATTGGCAGCATATAGCAGGGCATTGAGAACGCACGCTTCGCGTCATCGCGCCTTCAATTTTTCAGATGCAGCACGGACTGCCATCAAGTACGAATAGTTGTATCTCTGTGCCGTCGTTAACGCGCATCCTTTCCCTCGCTTTATTTCCATATTGTGTTTGTTTGCGTTTGTCTTATTTGTAATGTTGCTTTAAACTAGAGCAGAGCATTGCGAGTTCACGACTCACGCCATCGCGTCTTACTTTTTTCATATGCAATATGGACATCCATCTTGCGT